TCTGTGGTGGCCGAGTTACTGTTCATGCTGTGGTCGAATTAGTACATTTCGGCGATTAAAATATAGTGCATGTTGGTTTGGGGGTTGTCGGTAGGAGTACGACGCCCATGAATGGTGAATTTTGGCTTAAAATGCAAAAATTCGAGTTGTTGGTGCACGTGCGAACTAAATTGAATTGGCTAGTTGTGGTGCTTATTATGGCTTGAAATACACATGAAAATGTTGAATTTGTGCCCGTGATTGTGGCTGTGATTGCGGGTCCATTGGCAGCCTTGTATGCTCGTTGGTTTGTGAATTAATTGATTGAAATGTGAACCGTTATATGCACGCATGGGCTGAATTGAATTGGCTGGAAATTGGCCATGTTTATGTGTTAAATGAACATGAGAAATGTGTAAAATGTTGTGCGTGCAGTCACGAAAATCCCTGAGGCGGTACCATAACGCGGGGAATTGTACCGTCCTGAGGCGGTACCATAACGCGGGACGATGCCCGGTATTACCGGAAGACGGCCAACCTGAGGTATGTATTTCAACGTGGGTTGTGCTGTAGGTGGTGGATGTTAAGCCTGAGGCGGTACTATTACGCGGGCAAGAGACATAGCTTGAGGCGGTACTATTACGCGGGCTAAGAAGTGTTGTGAAAATAAGATGGTCATGTGTGGACCGTGAATTGATAGTGGACCTGGGGCGGTACTATTATGCGGGTCACTGGCAAGTCGAATGAAAATGAGTTGGTCATGTGTGGACCGTGAATTGACAGTGGACCTGAGGCGGTACTATTACGTGGATTATTGGCAAGTTGAATGAAAATAGTGTGGTGAGACATGAACGAGTGCGTGAAATGTGGAAATGAAATGCCACGTGTTCGACTTGTGTATTGGGCGTGAAATGTATTTGGAATGTGTATGTGGTTGGAAATTATGTTATTGTGGTTAACGTGGAGGTTGCACGCATTAAAAGCCCGGGTAAGTGTAAATTGTGTGCCTGTTATGTGGTGGTTGAGTGTGATTGTGTTTGGACTTGTATGGAGGTACGTATTAGCCTAGGTGGGGTTTAGGGTGTTACTTGCTGAGATGTGTCTCATGGTTGTTTCAACCAAAACATTTCAGAACCCCGGCCTGAGCCATGAATCTACCGCCGCCGCCGCCACCGCCTCAGCGTTTTGGGATTCCGATGCACACCGACTATAATGTTGTAGAGTACCCGATAGATGAGAATTTGACCTGGATCAAGCATACTACGGTAATCTGGGTAGACATAGGGCAACCCCTTTGGCAGGCCCACACCTATACCGCCTGGATGTTTCAGGACGGGATGGATGAGTTTGGCCCCGTTCGTGGCTTTGATGTTCCCTTTGACGGAGTAGGGGATTGGGATCCGTCGGCCATGCCTCCTCCCGACGATGAGATGACTAGCTTGGATACTAGTCTCGCCCAATCAGGACATCAGCCTGTACCTACAGCACCCGAACCTTCAGTGGCTGAGCCTGATCCGGAGCCGGAGGAATCATAGGCAGGATATGATCCGATGGATGTGGACCTAGGTGCAATACCAGAGGAGGAATCCAGAGAGGAAGAGCCTGAAGAGGTACCGGAAGAAGAACCCGAGGATGAACCAGAGGATGAGCCAGAAAATGAGCCAGAGGAAAAGCCAGAAGAGGAGTTTGAGGAGGAGGAGCGGATTGAGGTTCCGCTAGAGTCGCGTGATGAGGATAACCCGATTGAGATTGTGGCTGATTCGGAGTCCTCAGAGGAGTTCTGGTTCAGGGGGATTCGGATTCGGATTCTAGGGAGTCGGACTCGGAGTGGACGCCATTCAGGGGGCGTAGGGGCTAGTTTAGGGGTTGAGCGAAGGCCTTTTGAAGTGTCCCATTTTTGGAGTTAGGGTACCCAGGCTATTGATCTTTTTGATATCGGTGGTGTATAGTTTAGAAGTTCGGTGTGCATGTATATTATGTGGATTGTAAATGGTGGATATTGTATAAGTTTGAATCAGTAATGGATGTATATTCTTCCTTTTACCCCTAGTCAATTATTGTCCGGGTGTTTGCGGCTTCGGCTGGTGGTTTATATCTCTGATGTGCTTATTTGGGTCGGCAACGTTTCTTGGGACGTTGCACTAATTCGACCGAAGAGGGATGCCACGAGCTCGATGGGGTTCGGGGCGTGACATCGCCTGCCCCGAGTGAGGCCGCCCTCATGGCCATCTGGCGAGGGCGAGCCTCGCTAGTGGCTGGTGAGGCGACCTCGCTGGCCTCTGGCCAGTCGCCAATCTAGCAACCGACTAGAGGAAGGAGGGAGGGGAGGAAAAAAAAAGAAAAAGAAAAGAAAAAAATAAATAAAAATTCAAAAAATATTGAAATATTATTAAAAGTTACACACGTCAGCGCAGGTGGCCAGTCGGTATCCACGTCAGTAAAATCCGGCCAAAATTGGCCATAATGACTGAATTGGCATAAAGACAAAAGGTTTGGAACTGAATTAGTACAAATGCAAAAGGTTTAGGATTGAATTGGCATAAAAAAAGGTTTATGACTAAATTGGCATTAATGCAAAAGGTTTAGGACTGAATTGGCACCAAAAAAAAGTTTAGCACTAAATTGGCACAAATGCAAAAGGTTTAGGACTTTTTTTACACTTTTTCCATATAGAAGTAGTTCGAGCATGGTACATTGCGGATCTCTTCGAGATCATGTAACGTGTTGCTAGTTTCCTTATCATCCAAAATAGGGTCAAGAATGTTAGGAAAATCCCTTATGATGTTTTGAAGCTGACAATATAATCAAAGGCTACGAACATGTTTAATGGTTGAGTAAATAGGTCAAAGATACACAAGCTCTTATGCAAATTATATTCTAATAAGAACGTATAATGGTTAAGATTTCTCTATGAATGGATAAAAAGGCATTAGGCATATAAGTGTCTACAAGCTAGAGGTACCTAAGTATAAGGGGAATAAGCTTAGAATAGGGAGTTCGGTAAAGGTTGGAAGTACCATGAATAGGTGAACAGTGAGGTCGAGCCATTATTTCCAATATACTTGGATATCACCAGACAACTGGAATTGAATATCATCAGAAGCCGGTTATAACGTGGATATCAGTAGCTCCCTTCTTTGATATCAGTAGTGTACTATGTGAATATCACCAAGAGTATCACAATGAATTGCGTAAATATCAACAATTGAACTATGAATACTATCATGTTTGACAACTCCCTATGCTTCAGGTATGCAACGGGTGTAAAACTTAGATTTCTACTAGTACGATTACTAGTGAAGAGCTTTCATTGTCCAAATACCACATCGACGTGATGCGATTAAAATTAATCAAAGAACCGACAACGTTTATGGGGACTTGGCCATTTCATGCATCGACATGAAGTTGATACAAACGCTTAATATGATGCATTGATCCATCTTATGGAAATCAATTAGCATTGATTTGCTATTGATTATAGATAGTGAAGCTTTCGACTTTGAATCGGAATAATAGGGATTTTTCTTTGACCCCCCATTATTGAGGAAAACGACACTAGAAATGCTATAACTTTCGTGTGGCTCTCACTTTAGTGAGAAAATTTATCATCGGATCACTTAAATGCCACGTTAGAGAAAAAATGATCACTTGAGTGACTCTAGCAACAAATTCCAGCTAAAAGTCCTACATGGCATTTTTAATAGAATTTTACTCATATGTGGCTTTTTTATGTGAAAAACAAGTCCAACATGAACGATGAAGTGGTTGTTGAAGAAAAAACAATGTCGTATCCTTCAAATTTGATCGCTCTCTCTAAAAATTGACAAATCTGCCTCCTGTCATAGTTTGTGTTGAATTGGTCTCTCTCTCTCTCTCATTGATCGCACTTGCTCGCTCCTTGTCTCATTGCTGTCTCGCTCACTTTCTCATTTAGTCACTCAATCACCGTTATGCTCTCACACTCGCTCACTTAATCGCCGCTGGAAAAATTTAGGTCTTGGTACTTGGAGGGAAAATATTAGGGCTCGGTACTTCGTGGGAAAAAATTAGGGCTTGGTGTTTTACTTGTTTTTTGTTGGTTCTGCTGAATATAGTTGGGGAGGTTGTTGTTTGGGAGGGTTTTGACTTGCTTTTAGCTCTTGCTGCTGCATATAGTTGAGGAGGTCGTTGTTGGGGAGGTTTTGGACTTGTTTTTTTCTGGTGCTGCTGCGTTTAGTAGGGGAGGTGTTTGACTTGTTGGGGACAGTATATTGATATAAGACAACCTTGTTTTGAATGCAATGATGTTTGATTTTAATCTAAGCCATTGTTAATGGAGTAACTGTTTTTGTACGTGTTTCCAAGTTTGTACGCAATGTGTGTAGCACACATAATGGTCTAATCATGTTTAAGAAAGTGAAATCAACAAATCACTTTCTAAAAAGTTACAAAGCATAAATGATCACTTTTAACAAAAATTAGCACTCAAGTGATCACCTTTCACTGAACTTTGTCACGTCTGATTTCCGGCAAGCCAAGTTGTTCAGAAAAAAAATGTTAAAATATTACCACGTTAGAATTCCGGCATCTCAAATTGGAGTTGACACTTAGTTGATCATTTTTTATTGAAGTGACAATCAAGTGAATCGTCGGGAAGTTTTGACACTAAAATGAGCACTATAAAAAAGTTATGGCACTTCTAGTATCATTTTCCCTTTATTATTGCATTTAAAATCTACATGAACACTTTTGGATTGGCATAAAGCGAAATTCTTCATTAACATATGTCTACTCAAAGATGGATTTGAAAAATGCAAAATTGGACTAAACATTCGATTGCGAGTGATCTGGCCAGTAGAACGCAAAAGAGTCCAGCATAGCACCTCACTTTCTTATTCAATGTGCTGTCTCATACGCCCTGTCCGATTTATTTAATCTCAGGAAAATACAAAGTGACGTAATCGCTGACGACGACAATATCCCGAAACCACTATAAATTGAGACACTCGCTTCACTCCATTCCCACACCATCAGCTCTCTCACTTATCCTCTTCTACCAAACCTGTCACCCGATGTCTTCCAGGTACTTGCTAGTTTTGCTCCTGGGAGCGGTGCTTTTCGCCGCCCCTGTCCTCTCCGAGGACGTTGAAAAAGAGCACAAGCATCACCACAAGCACCACCACAAGCACCAACCTGGCGGTCGCCGTCTCTTGGAGACCACTGAAGTCGAAGACTTGCACCACCACCGCCACCACCACCCTCACCACCCTCACGAGCACATTCTGGTCGAGGAGGTCGAAAAGGAAGACTCCTACAAAAAGCCGTTCCCCGGCGAGAAACCGCCCCACCACCACCACCACCACCCCCACCACCCCGGCCACATGCTTGCCGAGGAAATGGTAACTGATGAAAAAGAAAAAGAGCACAAGCACCACCACAAGCACCACCCCGGCGATCGCCGTCTCTTGGAGACCATCAAAGTCGAGGACATGCACCACCACCACCACCACCACCACCCCGGCCACATGCTTGCCGAGGAAGTGGTAGCAGATGAAAAAAATAAGCCTTTCCTTGAGCACGAGCCGCCAAAGAAAGGCGAGGAGCCGAAGAAGGGCAGGGGAGAGAAGCCGCACCACCACAAGCCACCGCACAAGCCCCCCACTGAGAACTGAGTGTGTGTTTTTCAATGAATGTATATCGTGTGCTTATCACGCTTTCAAATAAGAGGTGGTCCATATTGTATCTGGTACTACCGTGTTAGCAGGTTGGTTATTTGTGTTCCATGTAATAAAGGATGTTTGTACTTTGCATAAGAGGACACTTAGAAGAGTTTAACAAAGGAAAGCTCACGGCTAGCAAATACTCAGCATTTCCTTTGACTTTGCCCCCGTTAATATATGCTGAGTATTTGCTAGCCGTGAGCTTTCCTTTGTTAAACTCTTCTAAGTGTCCTCTTATGCAATCTAACATTGCCATGTCCCCCAAGCTCGAAGAATTTGTTCATACTCCTAAACCCTCAGCCAACATGGATGCGTGACTGGAATATGATTAACAGTTGATGAAAGACGTAAATAGGTTTTGCTTATTTGGAAAAGAGACAGCAGATCCTCATCTAAACAGGGATGCCAGAGATCTAAAAATTCTGATCAACTGCTTTTGACTCACTTGTGAAGTATAATAAAAGAAGGAATAATGAATTTTTAACCTACTGATAGCAGGACATACATGAGAAGATAAACAATGGATATATTAGAAAAATTAATTTTTTCTATTTGGATAATTTAACTACTTAAGGCTATGTTAACAGAATCATATTATTCTAAAAAGAAGTTTTTTCCTTGCCCACGACTAGAAGCTCCACTACATGTCCCCACAGATTGATCCGATTTTACTTTTTGTAGATCTGCTTCAGTTGAAGTTTGACAATTGGCCTACTGCTAGTGGAAAGAATTACCCAATGGTCCACTAATTCCTTTGTTTAGCATTAATCTTAGTCAAAATATGAATTTTCATATAACATAATCTAGATTGGGTTGAGCTTGTCCTAATGTGCCTAGTTATAGAGTTAGAATGTGCGATAGTTTATTTTGAAAGTTCTAACAAAGATGGCCTATCTTTTACATTTGGAATGGTATTAGTTTTGATTTTTTTTCGATGATCAATTTCATATCTTTACTTGAATTTATACCGGTTTGCGCATCACCATCCTTTGCCATCAACCCTCTAACTCGCCTTTACAAATCTTCAAGCCCCGAAACTCTCCCACTTTCAATACCAATATATAGAATGTAACGAGATATGCTAGTTTGTTTTTTGACAGATAATCATGTTCGATTTATCATAACGTCTCACGATAAGAAGACAAATTTCACCTATTTCATGAATGTACGTTCACCACGTAGATTAAGATTGACCAGGTGTTTGTAGGTTGTATGGTCCTACGTCCTATCCATACAAAATCCTATGTGACCTACCATTCTGGTCGGTACTATCAACAGCTTAATCTGCCCCCAACTGACGCATGTCCATGGATTTGTAACAATTGCAATTAACTTCTATGTATATCCAAGTCAAGATATATACCTTGTATTATTTCTTAAGTGATTACATGAACCCAATTAAGCGCCACTTGTGATCTAACAGAAATAATGGTTCACATACGAGATCCATATAATGTAACAATTATAGTACATCGAGCTCATATGTATCTAATACATGCAATATTGGTAGACACTTGATGTGAGCCCATATGCCACGTGAAACGACACCATGAAGTCAAAAGAAGTTTACAATATCCTAGACTAACCACCCCAATTCCAATTCGTCCAGTTATAACTCGATCTTGTGCACTATCTTTTAATGCCTCATTTGTTAGGTACCTTGCCTAATTTAAGGTCACAGTCCCAATCAACACACGCAGTGACATCATATTTATATAACTTACTAATTTGAATATGCTTTATGTTCAAGACAAAATCCCTAAACTGAAGGCCTAGAAAGTGTCATAGCCAATACACTCCCTTGTTTCTCGCCCATGTGAGCATAAGTCAAATCTACGTATTTCACCGCCGTTAATGGAAAATGAAGAAAAGGGCACCTTGCTGACTTCGATACACAAGCTAAAGTTGTTTATTATACTCTTAGGAGGTGCAATCTGTACGATGATTAAATAGAGTAGTTTACGTTGGCGTGTCCCTATTTTTCTTGATGGGTTGAATATGTTAATTTTAGTCAAGCCATGGTTTCGGTGAGAGTTGAATAGTTGACTAAATTGGATGAAAACATGAAAGTTTGTGTCATGTTTTCGTTTTCCTCTTTAATGGAGTGCCCATTGACTGGCTTGAAATGCCCAACGAGTTCCTTATTATATTCTTTCTTATCTTTATGTTTTTATTATTTAGTTTAGGGCTCTTACGCAAACTTAAATAAACGATAAACAAGAACATGAACTGTCAGAAAGATGACTAAAAATTTCACTATGCAAAATTGCTATTGATACACGGATCACCGGAGCTTTTGTCCCCGATTGCTCTCCACAGATGTGCGCAGATCGCCGCATCTAGACGTCCACGATTATCATAAAAAGTCGACTGCTCCATGCGTTACTTTACAAAATAATTCTTAGAATTATACCACGACATACAAGAAAATAATACATATTCTCATATATCAAAACCTCCGTTACTCAACCACTCGTAGAAGAACATAAAGTTAATCGGTTCGAAACGAGCCTAATGCTTCACTAAACAACTGTACAGAAGTAGTTCGAGCATGGTGCATCGCAGATCTCCTCTACATCATGTAATGAGTCGCTAGTTTCCTCGTCATCCAAAATGGGGTCGAGAAAAGACAAGCCTTTCCATCAGCAATTCATGATATGTTTAAAAAGTCTTGGTCTACCATAGAAATCGATAGCATGTCTTTCATCAAGTACACAAACACTCTCTCTTGCTGGGTTTGCTGCTGCTATACCTAGAATCACTCTTTTCATCACAGAAGATTAGATACGAATTTGCAAGCTGATGCGGTCCTAGAACGATACTACCATTGCAACCTAATAACCTATGGGAGCCACGAAGGTGGTCGGCACTGTTTCTCTCTGCCCCAATCGCCACACTTGTAAGGATCGTCAAAGCTCATCATCAACCTGTAGTTGTGCATGCCTGTCACGATTCGCCACGATGTCATGTGGACTACGCTACGAAGTCTTGAGAAATCTACACTAATCAAGTAGTAAGTACCCACCCGATTCTTATTCGCCAGGTTATAACTCAATCTAGCTTGTCTCTACCAATTGAAGGTCAATGTCCTAACTGATATCGGCCGTGACATCAAAATCAAAATATATATTAGTATTACATTAATAATATATCTATTGAATATAAGTTTTTAAATTTCGACCAAAAAAGAGAATATAAGTTTTTAAATCTCAACCCTCGATATAATAAATGGCCGTGCTTGTTTGTTTCTAGACCCCACGTGAGTCTTGCCAACTTCTCAATAGAAAACCTAGAAATTGTGATTTTTATAATACTGGAGGGCAACACGTGTACGTGTTGTAGGGTTCTGATGGGCCATGTGATGCGCTTACCCGTAAAATGAGAACATCGGTCATATAATAATCTTGTGTTCACTATCACGTTTGACAATTCCATATGCTCAGGTATGCAAAGGGCGCAAAACTTAGATTTCTACAAGTTCAATTACTAGTGAAGAGCTTTCATTGCCCAAATACCACACATCGATGTGACACGATAAAAATTAATTGAAGAGCCGATGACGTTTGCGGGGACTTGCCCATTTCATGCATTGACATGAAGTTGATACGAACCCCTAATATGATGCATGGATCCGTCTTATGGAAATCAATTAGCATTGATCTGCTATTGATTATAGCTAGTGAAGCTTTCGACTTTGAATTAGAATAATAACGATTTTTCTTAGATCCCCTATTATTGAGAAAAAGGACACTGGAAGTACTATAACTTTCGTATGGCATTCACTTTAATGCCAAAACTTTTCACTTGATCACTTAAATGCCACATTGGGGAAAAAAACAATCACTTGAGTGCCTCCAGCGACAAATTCCAGCAAAAAGCTACGTGACATTTTCATTAGAATTTTATTGGGAGTAGAGCAAGAGTGTTATAACTTTTGTATGGCGCTCACTCGAGTGTCACGACTCTTTTTTCGTCACTCGAGTGCCACATCAGAGTAAAATCGATCATTTGAGTGACACTTTCGACAAATGGTCATACATGGATTTTTTTATTTACTTTTAAAAAAATAATTTATTATTAATATTTTTTATTTTTCTTTATTTTTCTTTGCGCCTGTTGCAAAGGCCTCGCCCTTGATTGGCGTGGCCTTCGTAGCCTCACCCAAGGCCATGGCGGCCTCGCCGGCTACAGGCGAGGGCCTTCGTGGCGAGGCCGCCTCGTCTGCGATCGGCGAGGGCCTTCATGCCGGCTGTGGGCAAGGGTGCAAAGGCCCTTGTCAGATATGGGCGAGGCCAGTGGCAGATTTTCCAACGAAACAAATTGTCGATGGAATTTAAGTGATTGATTTTTCAAATTTGTGGCAGTTAAATGATCAATTTTTCAAATTTATGGTACTTAAGTGAGCAAAATAAATTACAAAAATTGTCCACGTCGGCACCGGTGGTGCCACACAGGACGACTGTCGTCCATGTTGGATTTTCCAGTGAGATAAATCGCTGATGGCACTTAAACGATCAATTTTTTAATTTTATAGCACTTAAGTGAGTGAAAAAAAATATTATGACACTAAAGTGAGCGCTATACGAAAGATATGGCACTCCTGCTATTTTTATCCCGAATTTTATTCAAACATGGCTTTTTTTATGTAAAAAAGGAGTCCAACGTCGACGGTGAAGTTGTTTGTGTTTAGACAAATCTCTCCTGTCGTTGTTTGTGTTGACTCTCTCTCTCTCTCGTTCACTGTTTGCACCTGCTCGCTTGCTCGCTAGCAGTCTCAATCACTTTTCAGCTCAGTCACTCAATCGCCGTCATTCTCTCTCACTCACTCACTTAATTGACGCTGGAAAAAATTAGGACTTGGTGGTTGGAGGGAAAAAATTAGGGCTTGGTACTTCGTGGTAAAAAATTAGGCCTTGGTTTTTGACTTGTTTTTTGCTGGTGCTGCTGCATATAGTTAGCGAGGTTGTTGTTGGGGAGGTTGTTGTCTCGTTTTTTGCTGGTGCTGCTTCTTATAGTTGGGGAGGTTTTTGACTAGTTTTTTTCT